TCTCGCGGTCTCTCTCGCGGTCACACACTCTCGCGGTCACGCACTCTCGCGGTCACACTCTCTCGCGGTCACACACTCTCGCGGTCACACACTCTCGCGGTCACACTCTCTCGCGGTCACACACTCTCGCGGTCACACACTCTCGCGGTCACACACTCTCACGGTCACACACTCTCGCGGTCACACTCTCTCGCGGTCACACTCTCTCGCGGTCACACACTCTCGCGGTCACACACTCTCACGGTCACACACTCTCGCGGTCTCTCTCGCGGTCACACACTCTCGCGGTCACGCACTCTCGCGGTCACACTCTCTCTCGGGCACACACTCTCACGGTCACAGACTCTCGCGGTCACACTCTCGCGGTCACACACTCTTGCGGCCACACACTCTCGCGTTCTCTCTCGCGGTCACACACTCTCGCGGTCACGCACTCTCGCGGTCACACTCTCTCGCGGTCACACACTCTCGTGGTCACACTCTCTCGCGGTCTCTCTCGCGGTCACACACTCTTGCGGTCTCTCTCGCGGTCACACACTCTCGCAGTCACACACTCTCGCGGTCACACTCTCTCGCGGTCTCTCTCACGGTCACACTCTCTCGCGGTCTCTCTCGCGGTCACACACTCTCTTGCGGTCTCTCTCGCGGTCACACACTCTCGCGGTCACACAATCTCACGGCCTCTCTCGCGGTCACACACTCTCACGGTCACACTCTCTCGTGGTCTCTCTCGCGGTCACACACACTCGCGGTCTCTCTCGCGGTCACACACTCTCGCGGTCACACTCTCTCGCGGTCACACACTCTCGCGGTCACACTCTCTCGCGGTCTCTCTCGCGTTCACACACTCTCGCGGGCACACACTCTCGCGGTCACAGACTCTCGCGGTCACACTCTCGCGGTCACACACTCTCGCGGTCACACTCTCTCGCGGTCTCTCTCGCGTTCACACACTCTCTCGGGCACACACTCTCACGGTCACAGACTCTCGCGGTCACACTCTCGCGGTCACACACTCTTGCGGTCACACACTCTCGCGTTCTCTCTCGCGGTCACACACTCTCGCGGTCACGCACTCTCGCGGTCACACTCTCTCGCGGTCACACACTCTCGTGGTCACACTCTCTCGCGGTCTCTCTCGCGGTCACACACTCTTGCGGTCTCTCTCGCGGTCACACACTCTCGCGGTCACACACTCTCGCGGTCACACTCTCTCGCGGTCTCTCTCACGGTCACACTCTCTCGCGGTCTCTCTCGCGGTCACACACTCTCTTGCGGTCTCTCTCGCGGTCACACACTCTCGCGGTCACACAATCTCACGGCCTCTCTCGCGGTCACACACTCTCACGGTCACACTCTCTCGTGGTCTCTCTCGCGGTCACACACACTCGCGGTCTCTCTCGCGGTCACACACTCTCGCGGTCACACTCTCTCGCGGTCACACAATCTCACGGCCTCTCTCGCGGTCACACACTCTCACGGTCACACTCTCTCGTGGTCTCTCTCGCGGTCACACACACTCGCGGTCTCTCTCGCGGTCACACACTCTCGCGGTCACACACTCTCGCGGTCACACTCTCTCGCGGTCACACACTCTCGCGGTCACACTCTCTCGCGGTCTCTCTCGCGTTCACACACTCTCGCGGGCACACACTCTCGCGGTCACAGACTCTCGCGGTCACACTCTCGCGGTCACACACTCTCGCGGTCACACTCTCTCGCGGTCTCTCTCGCGTTCACACACTCTCTCGGGCACACACTCTCACGGTCACAGACTCTCGCGGTCACACACTCTTGCGGCCACACACTCTCGCGCGTTCTCTCTCGCGGTCACACACTCTCGCGGTCACGCACTCTCGCGGTCACACTCTCTCGCGGTCACACACTCTCGTGGTCACACTCTCTCGCGGTCTCTCTCGCGGTCACACACTCTTGCGGTCTCTCTCGCGGTCACACACTCTCGCGGTCACACACTCTCGCGGTCACACTCTCTCGCGGTCTCTCTCACGGTCACACTCTCTCGCGGTCTCTCTCGCGGTCACACACTCTCTTGCGGTCTCTCTCGCGGTCACACACTCTCGCGGTCACACAATCTCACGGCCTCTCTCGCGGTCACACACTCTCACGGTCACACTCTCTCGTGGTCTCTCTCGCGGTCACACACACTCGCGGTCTCTCTCGCGGTCACACACTCTCGCGGTCACACTCTCTCGCGGTCACACTCTCTCGCGGTCACACACTCTCGCGGTCACACTCTCTCGCGGTCTCTCTCGCGTTCACACACTCTCGCGGGCACACACTCTCGCGGTCACAGACTCTCGCGGTCACACTCTCGCGGTCACACACTCTCGCGGTCACACTCTCTCGCGGTCTCTCTCGCGTTCACACACTCTCTCGGGCACACACTCTCACGGTCACAGACTCTCGCGGTCACACTCTCGCGGTCACACACTCTTGCGGTCACACACTCTCGCGTTCTCTCTCGCGGTCACACACTCTCGCGGTCACGCACTCTCGCGGTCACACTCTCTCGCGGTCACACACTCTCGTGGTCACACTCTCTCGCGGTCTCTCTCGCGGTCACACACTCTTGCGGTCTCTCTCGCGGTCACACACTCTCGCGGTCACACACTCTCGCGGTCACACTCTCTCGCGGTCTCTCTCACGGTCACACTCTCTCGCGGTCTCTCTCGCGGTCACACACTCTCTTGCGGTCTCTCTCGCGGTCACACACTCTCGCGGTCACACAATCTCACGGCCTCTCTCGCGGTCACACACTCTCACGGTCACACTCTCTCGTGGTCTCTCTCGCGGTCACACACACTCGCGGTCTCTCTCGCGGTCACACACTCTCGCGGTCACACTCTCTCGCGGTCACACACTCTCGCGGTCACACTCTCTCGCGGTCTCTCTCGCGTTCACACACTCTCGCGGGCACACACTCTCGCGGTCACAGACTCTCGCGGTCACACTCTCGCGGTCACACACTCTCGCGGTCACACTCTCTCGCGGTCTCTCTCGCGTTCACACACTCTCTCGGGCACACACTCTCACGGTCACAGACTCTCGCGGTCACACTCTCGCGGTCACACACTCTTGCGGCCACACACTCTCGCGTTCTCTCTCGCGGTCACACACTCTCGCGGTCACGCACTCTCGCGGTCACACTCTCTCGCGGTCACACACTCTCGTGGTCACACTCTCTCGCGGTCTCTCTCGCGGTCACACACTCTTGCGGTCTCTCTCGCGGTCACACACTCTTGCGGTCACACACTCTCGCGGTCACACTCTCTCGCGGTCTCTCTCACGGTCACACTCTCTCGCGGTCTCTCTCGCGGTCACACACTCTCTTGCGGTCTCTCTCGCGGTCACACACTCTCGCGGTCACACAATCTCACGGCCTCTCTCGCGGTCACACACTCTCACGGTCACACTCTCTCGTGGTCTCTCTCGCGGTCACACACACTCGCGGTCTCTCTCGCGGTCACACACTCTCGCGGTCACACTCTCTCGCGGTCACACACTCTCGCGGTCACACTCTCTCGCGGTCTCTCTCGCGTTCACACACTCTCGCGGGCACACACTCTCGCGGTCACACCCTCGCGGTCACACTCTCGCGGTCACACACTCTCGCGGTCACACTCTCGCGGTCACACACTCTCGCGGTCACACACTCGCAGTCACACACTCTCGCGGTCAAACACTCTCGCGGTCACACACTCTCGCGGTCACACACTCTCGCGGTCACACACTCTTGCGGTCACACACTCTCGCGGTCACACACTCTCGCGGTCACACACTCTCGCGGTCACACACTCTCGCGGTCACACACTCTCGCGGTCACACACTCTCGCGGTCACACACTTGCAGTATTTGTCCACAGCTGGAGTCCCCTCAGATGCGCCCTACTTTGAGATGTGCTGAGGAGGCTTTTCCGTGCACACTTCATTATCCTGGTGCATGAGCGAGGGCGGCTTCAAACACACACATGAGCTTTAAATAGTGCTGCATGTGTTCCTCTGGACAGGGACATGTTGCTGCGTTTTTATCTATTTTTGCAAAGAACCCGACTCAAAGTTCTTCGAGTAAATATTCAAAGCGGGTATTTTTTGTCCAAATACTGGCCCTTGTTGAAATGCAGCCTACAAACTTTTGTCCTGGGTACTTAACTAAAAGTAAAACGTGGGGAATTATCTTTCTAGAAAACATCTAGAAAGAATCCTGTGTCGTGGTGTAGATTTGACGTTATTTTGTTCTTGATTTTATTTAGACTATTCTGACTTGAGTTCTTATTGTAAACACACAGCTCCCATCATGAAATGTGTCTTAGGTCCAATTATAGAAATGACGGAAAATGCAAGTTAATGCTGCTTTTACTGTGGCAAAAAAAGAGTTATTCTCTCTATCCTTTCCTCTCTCTTCTATCTCTCCTCTCTTCTCTCTTTCCTCACTCTTCTTTCTCTCGTCTCTCTTCTATCTCTCCTCCTCTCTGCTCTCTCTCTTCTATCTCTCCTCTCTGCTCTCCTTCCTCACTCTTCTTTCTCTCGTCTCTCTTCTACGTATCTCTCATCCTCTCTGCTCTTTCTCCTCTCTATGTTATCTCCTCCTCTCTGATCTTTCTCTTCGCTCTTTTATCTCTGCTCTTTCTCCTCTCTCCTCCTGAATACAGAAAGTTGTGGTTTCATTTTTGCCTTTTTTTTTTTTTCTTACCAAATAAACCAGACTCTTTTTATCATATTTATGAAACAAAACCCTTTAAAGAGACTGTTGATGACGTGGGCACACAAACACTCCATCCTTGATCCAAAACCCCAGTGCATTATGGGTCTAACACTTGTGCTCAGTGCTTGGTTTTGCTTCAATCGTTCTAACCAAAAAGCTTTCTAGACCGACTTTCCCTCTCTCTCTCTCTCTCTCTCTTTCTCTCTCTCTGACACACGGTTCTGAAGCAGCTTTTAGGATTGAGTTGATAATTGCACATTTATTCCACGTAACAGTACTTTTGGTTTGAACGGCGCCGTGCTCTTTCTGCCGCTGCCCTTGACCACTGCATTTGGAAGAAGCATCTGACTCTGACCGTGCACAGAGAGAGAGAGATAGAGAGGGGGGGGGGGGGGGGGGGGGAGAGAGAGAGAGAGAGAGGGGGGAGAGAGAGAGAGAGGGGGAGCTGATTAAAAGGCAGCGGAAAGGAAAGAGCGTTTGTATGGGAGACACGCGCTGGTGGAACGGAGAGACCGAAAAAACACGGCCAATTATGGAGGGACTGATAAGAGCGGGAGAAATATGGAAATGTGTAAAAAGCAGGATTACGTAAGAGCGGGAGCGGCGTTCCAGCGAGGGGTCCGCAAACACACGGCCATTAGAGCTTTTCATCATACCACATATCTCCTCTCTCCTTTCCTCCTCTCTGTTCTCTCTCCTCCTTTCTCTCCTCTCTTTCTGATCTCTCTTCTCCTTTTTGCTCTCTCTTCTTCTCCGCTCTCTCTCCTCTCTTTCTGCTCTCTCTCATGCTCTCTGTTCTCTCTTCTCTTCTCTCTCTCCTCTCTGTTCTCCCTTCTCTTTCTCCGCTCTCTCTCCTCCTCTCTGCTCTCTGATCCTCCTCTCTGCTCTTTCTCCTCCCTCTCCTTTTTCTTCTCTGCTATCTCACCCTCCCCTGTCCCTCTCTCTGTACTCTCTCTCCTCCTCTCTGCTCTCTCCCCTCTCCTCTCTGCTCCCACCCCTCTTCTCTGCTCTCTCCTCTTGTCCTTTCTGCTCTCTCTCCTCCCTCTCTCTCCTCTCGGCTCGCTCTTCTCCTCTCTCTCTCTCCTCCTCTCTGTACTCTCTCCTCCTCTCTCTCGTCTCAGTTCCATCTCCCCTTCTCTGCTCTCTCTTCTCCTATCTCATCCACTCTGCTCGCTCTCCTCTCTTCCCTCTCTCATCCTCTTTTTTATCTTCTCCTCGCTCCTCCCTGCTCTCTTTTCTTCTCTCTGCTCTTTCTCCTCTCTCTCTCATATCTGCTTTTTCTCCCCTCTTTTTTTTCCTCTTCACGTAAGCTTAAAGGTAAAATTTTGCGTAAAAACAGAACCCAAATAGCGCTGCTAAGACTTAAGTTCTTTGAGTTTCTCACAAAAACCTGCACTGGGAGAGAAACCCCCTATGTGCTGTTGATATACTGTCATTAGTAATCTGAAATATTCTAAAAACCCTACATAGTTCTCCTTTACCATCTTTAAATGGTGACACTCTTCCTCTTCCATATATGGGCGGCGCGTCCTGTCAGGCCCTGGTCTTATCGGCTCGTCTGGATTCTGCTCGCGTGGTCGCACTCCTGCCGTTTATCTCCTCTCCTCGCTTCCTAGCTCCTTCGCCGTAACCTCTCCTCTCCTCCGGGACTCTCTCTGCTCTTATCGCGTCGGCAAAGCTGGCTCTGTCTCAGGACGCTTCAGACGGAGCCGCTCTACGTCTTTGGAATGGTAGAAAATGTAGACGTACCATAGTCCTGCTTTCCACCTGCTTTAGTCCTGATTTAGGCCTGCTTTAGCCCCCTGCTGTAGTCCAGGTCCTGTTTTAGACTTGCTTTAGTCCTGATTCAGTCCTCAGTTGGTTCTGTTTTAGACCTGATTGAGTCCTGCTTTTGTCCTGATTTGGTCTTGTTTTAGACTAGCTTTAGTCCTCTTTGGTCCTGTTTTAGACCTGATTTAGACCTGCTTTAGTCCTGATTTAGTCCTGCTTTATAGACATGATTTGGTCCTGCTTTAATCCTGTTTTAGTCCTGCTTTAGTATTGTTTAGTCCTGATTCAGTCCTGCTTTAGTCCTGCTTTAGTCCTGCTTTAGTCCTGCTTTAGTCCTGATTTAGACCTACTTTAGTCCTGCTTTGACCTGCTTTAGGTCAGTTTTAGACCGGTTTTGTTTGTCACTATATGGTTTTGCCTTCATTTGTTTGAGGTGAAGACATTTGCATAAAAAAACAAATCCTGCACAGTCCAACGCTTCACTGAGTTTATCCACAAAACACACTAGAACTCAGCCAGGACTGGGACCAGGACTGGGACCAGGACTGGGACCAGACTGAACCAGGACTTAGACCAAACTGAACCAGGACTTAGACCAGACTGAACCAGGACTTAGACCAGACTGAAGCAGGACTGAACCAGGACTCAGACCAGACTGAAGCAGGACTGAACCAGGACTTAGACCAGAGTGAAGCAGGACTGAACCAGGGCATAGACCAGACTGAAGCTGGACTGAGCCCAGACAAAGCTAGGACCGAACCAGTACAGAACCAGGACTTAGAACCAGACTGAAGCAGGATTGAAGCAGGACTTCGACCAGACTTTAAAGCAGGACTGAACTAAGACTGTCCCCAGACTGAAGCAGGACTGAGCCCAGACAAAGCCAGGACTAAGCCAGGACTGAACAAGGACTTAGACCAGACTGAACCAGGACTGAAGTAGGACTAAGCCAGGACTGAACCAGGACTTAGACCAGACTTTGAACCAGAACTGTTCCCAGACTGAAGCAGGATTGAGCTAGGCTTGAGCCGAGACTGAGCCAGCCCCAAACCAGGACCGCTGCAGTCCCGAGTCCCGAGGTTTAACAATGAACTAACCAGGCATAGAACCAAGACTAAACCAGATTTAAAACTGGTGTAAACTATGACACCATCAAGACTGAAGCAGCACGACAACAAGATAAAACCTTTCTCCGTTTCCTCATCAGGAGATTGGACATAATCTCTTTGAGTCCGTTGGGTACATACATACAGACCACAGTGAGACCATAGTGAGACCACAGTGAGACCATAGTGAGACCACAGTGAGACCACAGTGAGACCACAGTGAGACCACAGTGAGACCACAGTGAGACCCCAGTGAGACCACAGTGAGACCACAGTGAGACCACAGTGAGACCACAGTGAGACCACAGTGAGACCACAGTGAGACCACAGTGAGACCACAGTGAGACCACAGTGAGACCATAGTGAGACCATAGTGAGACCACAGTGAGACCACAGTGAGACCACAGTGAGACCACAGTGAGACCACAGTGAGACCACAGTGAGACCACAGTGAGACCACAGTGAGACCATAGTGAGACCACAGTGAGACCACAGTGAGACCACAGTGAGACCACAGTGAGACCATAGTGAGACCACAGTGAGACCACAGTGAGACCACAGTGAGACCACAGTGAGACCACAGTGAGACCATAGTGAGACCACAGTGAGACCATAGTGAGACCATAGTGAGACCATAGTGAGACCACAGTGAGACCACAGTGAGACCACAGTGAGACCATAGTGAGACCACAGTGAGACCACAGTGAGACCACAGTGAGACCACAGTGAGACCATAGTGAGACCACAGTGAGACCACAGTGAGACCACAGTGAGACCACAGTGAGACCACAGTGAGACCATATACCTTCAAAAGACCTCTGGTACAGTACTTCTGAATAAACAGTTTGTCTCTTGGCCACATCACAATGAAACGTGGGGACATTTGCTGCCGTCCCGTGTCCTCTGGCAGACCCCGAGAAAGTCCTCCATCAGCGCGGGACAAGCCACCGGGCGTCCCAAACTGAACGCACCACGCCACACTTCGCCGTTACAGAAATAGTGCGACAAACGATAATGTTTCAAGGACTTTTATATCACTGACACAATTACAACAATTACCCCGTCAAGCACGTTTGAAATTATCTTTAAAATCAAGGAGGAAAAATGGATTATCTTCAGTATTGCGAGATTTGATTAAATAGAGTCCACAGGGTTAAAAAGGTTGGGAAGCCTTTGACCTAGCCTGGTCTAATCACACCATTGTACTAATTTCACTCTGTACTAAGGTCTGGATTTGCTCCATTGAGCTCCATTAACAGGTGGGAGGGGTTAACTCCATTTGCAGATTGAAACCATTGGATCTGAGTTTACTGTGACTTATGGAATGAGTAATTAGCATTTAGCCTAGCTTTAGCCATCTCCTATGCTACTGACGGAGCCGGTGGGGGGTAGAGCCACAACATCTTTGCAGTAATGACAATTGCTTAACATTCCTCTCACTCCGGCTTCAATTTCTTGATATTTGGATTGAACCAGAGCAGATTACTTTACTATCGCATTCTCCGCCAAACTACAACCTGCAAATTCAGCGCAAACTCTTGACGTCACTGACACCGACCTACAACATCCGCCTCCCCCGCTCTCTGATTGGTCGGAGGGGATTCAAACAAGGTAACCACAGCCACTATGTTCAGAGCCAGACGTACATGTACATGAGTTTACAGATGGCTAAGGCCAGGCTAACTCTGACCTGGTCTAAACCACAATCAATAATCTCATAAATAAGATAAGATAAGATCTATAAGATGAACTTTATTGATCTCACAAAGGAGATATTTACACATTTGGCATGGATAGAATCACGATTGTGCAAAAGACAGAAGTGTGCAACATGTTAAGGTTAAAGATATAGTCCGTGCAGAATAAATTATATAAATAAAATAATAAATGTACAGAAAGTTCATGTAGAAATTCTCCCTCTTTTGCCTCTAAAGGAGCATGTTATGTCTTCTTCAAAATCCCATTTCCACGACGCCCGCTTTTCCAATTACTACATATTATACCCCCCCCACGTCACAGATTTAATTAGACTAAAAACAAAAGTGCTTCCTGCTCCTTTCCATCCCATGTGTTCTGAGTCAGGCCCGAGTAAACATTTGCGCAACACGCTTCCTAAATAGTTTGGGCGTCTGTCATCTCGGCTCTTTTCTCCAAATCACAGCCATCTTGTCCGTCTTTGAACGACCGCAGTTTGAAGTTTTGATCTGCTTCCAATTACCCGAGCGGCAGCCCAGACCACACCAGACCAGACCAGACCAGACCAGAGACCAAAGACTGCAGAGACCGGAGACCAAAGACTGCAGAGACTGTAGAGACCACAGAGCGCAGCAGAGAAAGTGGAGATAAAAGTCTGGATAAGTTGGTGATAGCGGATGTTTTGGAAAAGGGTTGGTAGCAGTAGTCTTAGATGTAGCAGTAGTCTTAGATGTAGCAGTAGTCTTAGAGGTAGCAGTAGTCTTAGATGTAGCAGTAGTCTTAGATGTAGCAGTAGTCTTAGATGTAGCAGTAGTCTTAGATGTAGCAGTAGTCCTGACCTGTGGAGTCCCACAGGGGTCGATCCTGGGACCTCTTCTGTTCAATCTCTACATGCTGCCGTTAGGTCAGTTAATACGCAGAAACAAAGTGTCCTATCATAACTATGCAGACGACACTCAGATCTATGTCTCACTGACTGCAGGAGAACATGGACCAGTGGACTCACTCCTTCACTGTATCCAACAGATCAGTGAGTGGATGCAAAACAACTTCCTTCAGCTAAACGCAGACAAAACTGAAATGATTGTCTTTGGTCCCCAGAAACAAAGAGAGAGCGTCATCTGTCACCTACAGTCTCTCTCCCTAAAACCTTTAAACAAGGTCAGAAATCTAGGGGTAATACTGGACTCAGACTTAAATTTTAATAGCCACATCAAATCAGTAACATCAGCAGCTTTTTACCATCTAAAAAACATTGCCAGGATCAAAAACATAGTGTCTAAAGCAGACTTGGAGATTCTTATCCATGCATTTATCTCCAGTAGGTTAGACTACTGCAATGGCCTGCTCACAGGTCTGTCCAAACAGGCTGTAAAACAGCTGCAGTACATTCAAAATGCAGCAGCTCGAGTCCTGACAAGAACCAGGAAGTACGACCACATTAGTCCAGTCCTCAGGTCTCTGCACTGGCTTCCTGTGGCTCAGAGAATAGACTTTAAAACAGCTCTGCTTGTGTACAAGTCTCTCCATAGCCTCGCACCAAAATATATTAGTGACATGTTAGTCCCATATGAACCAGCCCGGACTCTGAGGAGCACAGGGACTGGACTCCTGTTAGTGCCCAGAGTCAGAACTAAACATGGGGAGGCTGCTTTTCAGATTAATGCTGCTAAAATCTGGAACAGTCTTCCTGAAGATGTGAGACAGGCCTCCTCTCTGACAATGTTTAAAACCAGGTTAAAGACGGTTCTGTTTAACTGTGCATACAACTGAGGGATTTTATATTTTTATCTTTCTTTTTAATGTTCTGTGATAATTTATGATTTTAATGCTTTCTTGTTTTGTTCAGCACTTTGAATTGCCTTGTGTATGAATTGTGCTATATAAATAAACTTGCCTTTGCCTTTGCCTTTAGTCTTAGAGGTAGCAGTAGTCTTAGATGTGGCAGTAGTCTTAGATGTAGCAGTAGTCTTAGATGTAGCAGTAGTCTTAGAGGTAGCAGTAGTCTTAGATGTGGCAGTAGTCTTAGATGTAGCAGTAGTCTTAGATGTAGCAGTAGTCTTAGATGTAGCAGTAGTCTTAGATGTAGCAGTAGTCTTAGATGTAGCAGTAGTCTTAGAGGTAGCAGTAGTCTTAGATGTAGCAGTAGTCTTAGATGTAGCAGTAGTCTTAGATGTAGCAGTAGTCTTAGAGGTAGCAGTAGTCTTAGATGTAGCAGTAGTCTTAGATGTAGCAGTAGTCTTAGATGTAGCAGTAGTCTTAGATGTAGCAGTAGTCTTAGATGAAGCAGTAGTCTTAGATGTAGCAGTAGTCTTAGATGTAGCAGTAGTCTTAGAGGTAGCAGTAGTCTTAGATGTGGCAGTAGTCTTAGATGTAGCAGTAGTCTTAGATGTAGCAGTAGTCTTAGATGTAGCAGTAGTCTTAGATGTAGCAGTAGTCTTAGATGTAGCAGTAGTCTTAGATGTAGCAGTAGTCTTAGATGTAGCAGTAGTCTTAGATGTAGCAGTAGTCTTAGATGTAGCAGTAGTCTTAGATGTAGCAGTAGTCTTAGATGTAGCAGTAGTCTTAGATGTAGCAGTAGTCTTAGATGTAGCAGTAGTCTTAGATGTAGCAGTAGTCTTAGGTAGCATGCTTAGCAGTAGTCTTAGATGTAGCAGTAGTCTTAGATGTAGCAGTAGTCTTAGATGTAGCAGTAGTCTTAGAGGTAGCAGTAGTCTTAGAGGTAGCAGTAGTCTTAGATGTAGCAGTAGTCTTAGATGTAGCAGTAGTCTTAGAGGTAGCAGTAGTCTTAGATGTAGCAGTAGTCTTAGATGTAGCAGTAGTCTTAGATGTAGCAGTAGTCTTAGATGTAGCAGTAGTCTTAGATGTAGCAGTAGTCTTAGATGTAGCAGTAGTCTTAGATGTAGCAGTAGTCTTAGATGAAGCAGTAGTCTTAGATGTAGCAGTAGTCTTAGAGGTAGCAGTAGTCTTAGATGTGGCAGTAGTCTTAGATTAGATGTAGATGTAGCAGTAGTCTTAGATGTAGCAGTAGTCTTAGATGTAGCAGTAGTCTTAGAGGTAGCAGTAGTCTTAGATGTAGCAGTAGTCTTAGATGTAGCAGTAGTCTTAGATGTAGCAGTAGTCTTAGATGTAGCAGTAGTCTTAGATGTGGCAGTAGTCTTAGATGTAGCAGTAGTCTTAGATGTAGCAGTAGTCTTAGATGTAGCAGTAGTCTTAGATGTAGCAGTAGTCTTAGATGTAGCAGTAGTCTTAGAGGTAGCAGTAGTCTTTAGATGTAGCAGTAGTCTTAGATGTAGCAGTAGTCTTAGATGTAGCAGTAGTCTTAGAGGTAGCAGTAGTCTTAGATGTAGCAGTAGTCTTAGATGTAGCAGTAGTCTTAGATGTAGCAGTAGTCTTAGATGTAGCAGTAGTCTTAGATGAAGCAGTAGTCTTAGATGTAGCAGTAGTCTTAGATGTAGCAGTAGTCTTAGAGGTAGCAGTAGTCTTAGATGTGGCAGTAGTCTTAGATGTAGCAGTAGTCTTAGATGTAGCAGTAGTCTTAGATGTAGCAGTAGTCTTAGATGTAGCAGTAGTCTTAGAGGTAGCAGTAGTCTTAGATGTAGCAGTAGTCTTAGATGTAGCAGTAGTCTTAGATGTAGCAGTAGTCTTAGAGGTAGCAGTAGTCTTAGATGTAGCAGTAGTCTTAGATGTAGCAGTAGTCTTAGATGTAGCAGTAGTCTTAGATGTAGCAGTAGTCTTAGATGTAGCAGTAGTCTTAGAGGTAGCAGTAGTCTTAGATGTAGCAGTAGTCTTAGATGTAGCAGTAGTCTTAGATGTAGCAGTAGTCTTAGAGGTAGCAGTTGTCTTAGAGGTAGCAGTAGTCTTAGATGTAGCAGTAGTCTTAGATGTAGCAGTAGTCTTAGAGGTAGCAGTAGTCTTAGATGTAGCAGTAGTCTTAGATGTAGCAGTAGTCTTAGATGTAGCAGTAGTCTTAGATGTAGCAGTAGTCTTAGATGTAGCAGTAGTCTTAGATGAAGCAGTAGTCTTAGATGAAGCAGTAGTCTTAGATGAAGCAGTAGTCTTAGATACAAAATTATGCTAAAGCTAGAGATTTTATACTAGCTTCTTTATTATGCTAAAGCTAGATATTTTATATTAGCTTCTTTATTATGCTAAAGCTAGAGATTTTATACTAGCTTCTTTATTATGCTCAAGCAAGAGATTTTCTATTAGCTTCTTTATTATGCTAAAGCAAGAGATTTTGTATTAGCTTCTTTATCATGCTAAAGCTAGAGATTTTATACTAGCTTCTTTATCATGCTAAAGCTAGATATTTTATATTAGCTTCTTTATTATGCTAAAGCTAGAGATTTTATACTAGCTTCTTTATTATGCTCAAGCAAGAGATTTTGTATTAGCTTCGTTAGTATGCTAAAGCTCGATTTTGTATTAGCTTCGTTAGTATGCTAAAGCTAGAGATTTTGTATTAGCTTTGTCAGTATGCTAAAGCTAGAGATTTTGTATTAGCTTCTTTATCATGCTAAAGCTAAAGATTTCAGACTAGCTTCTTTATTATGCTAAAGCTAAAGATTTTGTATTAGCTTTTGTATTATGCTAAAGCTAGAGATTTTATATGAAGTGTGTTCCTCATTCCTGCTGTTCTGTAACTGGTGATACAACACTGAAATTTCCCCTACCGTGAGACAAACAAACCATCTGTCAATCTTACTTTCATTTCACATTGTCCCACAGACACGGGACTCGTATCTATTCCGCTGGTGTGTAGAGGCCATGGGACGACACACAGCCACGGGACGACACACGGCCACGGGACAACACGGCCACGGGACGACACACGGCCACGGGACGACACACTGCCACGGGACGACACATGGCCACGGGACGACACACGGCCACGGGACGACACAGAGCCACGGGACGACACACGGCCACGGGACGACACACTGCCACGGGACAACACGGCCACGGGACGACACACGGCCACGGGACGACACACTGCCACGGGACAACACGGCCACGGGACGACACACGGCCACGGGACGACACACGGCCGCGGGACGACACACAGCCACGGGACGACACACAGCCACGGGACGACACACAGCCATGGGACGACACACAGCCACGGGACGACACACGGCCACGGGACTCCACAAGGCCATGGGACAACACGGCCACGGGACGACACACGGCCACGGGACGACACACGGCCACGGGACGACACACTGCCACGGGACGACACACGGCCACGGGACGACACACGGCCACGGGACGACACAGAGCCACGGGACGACACACAGCCACGGGACGACACAGAGCCACGGGACGACACACGGCCACGGGACGACACACGGCCACGGGACGACACACGGCCACGGGACGACACACGGCCACGGGACGACACACGGCCACGGGACGACACAGAGCCACGGGACGACACACGGCCACGGGACGACACACTGCCACGGGACAACACGGCCACGGGACGACACACGGCCACGGGACGACACACGGCCGCGGGACGACACACAGCCACGGGACGACACACAGCCACGGGACGACACACAGCCATGGGAGGACACACGGCCACGGGACGACACACGGCCACGGGACGACACACGGCCACGGGACGACACACGGCCACGGGACGACACACGGCCACGGGACGACACACGGCCACGGGACGACACAGAGCCACGGGACGACACACAGCCACGGGACGACACAGAGCCACGGGACGACACACAGCCACGGGACGACACACGGCCACGGGACGACACACAGCCACGGGACGACACACAGCCACGGGACGACACAGAGCCACGGGACGACACACAGCCACGGGACGACACACGGCCACGGGACGACACACAGCCACGGGACGGCACACGGCCACGGGACGACACACGGCCACGGGACGACACACGGCCACGGGACGACACAGAGCCACGGGACGACACACAGCCACGGGACGACACAGAGCCACGGGACGACACACAGCCACGGGACGACACACGGCCACGGGACGACACACAGCCACGGGACGACACACAGCCACGGGACGACACAGAGCCACGGGACGACACACAGCCACGGGACGACACACGGCCACGGGACGACACACAGCCACGGGACGGCACACGGCCACGGGGACGACACACGGCCACGGGACGGGACGACACACGGCCACAGGACGCACACGGCCGCGGGACGACACACAGCCACGAGACGACACACAGCCACGGGACGACACACAGCCATGGGACGACACGGCCACGGGACGACACACAGCCACGGGACGACACACAGCCACGGGACGACACACAGCCACGGGACGACACACTGCCACGGGACGACACACGGCCACGGGACGACACACTGCCACGGGACGACACACGGCCACGGGACGACACACTGCCACGGGACGACACACGGCCACGGGACGACACACAGCCCCGGGACGACACACGGCCACGGGACGACACACGGCCACGGGACGACACACAGCCCCGGGACGACACACAGCCCCGGGACGACCACACAGCCACGGGACGACACACGGCCACGGGACGACACACAGCCACGGGACGACACACGGCCACGGGACGACACACAGCCACGGGACGACACACGGCCACGGGACGACACACAGCCACGGGACGACACACGGCCACGGGACGACACACAGCCACGGGACGACACACGGCCACGGGACGACACACAGCCACGGGACGACACACGGCCACGGGACGACACACAGCCACGGGACGACACACAGCCACGGGACGACACACAGCCTTGCTTTAAAAGGCAATGCTTTAAAACTAACACCAGAAAATAAAATAAATACATGTATAGAGTTAATTTTGAGATTTTAAGACACAATAATTGATTTTTGCCATTTGCAGTAAAACCACATTGGAAAAACTGTGCAAGACAACCCCAGTGTGCACCGGACACCTTTTTGTCTAATTGAAAGAACGTTTTAAGCCAGAACATTACACAAGTACACAAGGGGTAGGTGCAAACAAGCTTAAGCTTTTGCCTACTCCTTTTGAGCATCATATCCACGCTATTTATCTATTTAATTATTTACGTATTTACTTACGCCTACCTATTTTTGGCTTTGATTACTGTGCTGAACTTTATATATAAATAGAACTGTGTGGAACTCAGATGCTCAAATAAAAAAAGATGAATTGAATTGAATTGAATTGACATTACCGTTTTAAGTTTAATAGATTCTTTACTCGTCCTACAGCGGGGAGTTTTCAGTGTTGTAAAATCTCCACAAGGCAATATAGAATCTCTAAATTTTGCATAATAAGGTAAGAAGTCTAAAATCTCCAACTTTAGCATGATAAAGAAGCAAAACTCAGGTAAACAACTTAAAAAGGAGCAAGTATAAAATGTACTGTTTATTCTAGATTTGTTTGTTTTTTGAATAATGCTCTCTTCAAAATGCCGTAAATTGTCTATATTTGATCAAAGAAGGTGTTTTACTGTTTTTATAATGTCAACGCTTTTCCCAGAGTTGATTTAAAAAAAAATTGGGCATAAAACCTCTCTGGTGAGACTAAAACATCGGAGGTCTAAAGAAGGACTAAAGCAGATCAATGGAAAGACTAAAGTAGAACTAAAACAGGACTAAAGTAAGTCTGAAATAGGCAGGTCTAATGTAGAATCAAAACAGGTCTGAAGTAAGTCTAAAGCAGGTCTAATGTAGGACTGAAGCAGGTCTAATGTAGGACTGAAGCAGGTCTAATGTAGGACTGAAGCAGGTCTAATGTAGGACTGAAGCAGGTCTAACGCAAAACCAAAGCAGGGCTAAACCAGACACAAAACAGGTCTAAAGTAGGACCAAAGCGGATTCAAAGTCGGACTAAAGCAGGTCATCTAGGACTAAGACAGGTCTAATGTCAAAACTAAAGCAGGTCTAATGTAGGACTAAAACATTTCTAAAGCAAAACCAAAGCAGGACCAGAACAAAAACAGGACTAAAATAGGTCTAAAGCAGGTCTAATGTAGAACTAAAACCTGTCTAAAGCAAAACCAAAGCAGGTCTAGACCAGAACCAAAACAGGACTAAAACAGGACTAAAACAGGTCTAAAACAGGTCTAAAGCTGGACTAAAACAGGACTAAAACAGGTCTAGAGTCCTCTGTGATGAACAATGGCGGGAAGCGGCCACGATGCGTTTGTGGACTGTGGGAATAAACAGTGACGTGAGCAGACAAAGACTGGAAGGAAGCGGATTCTCCACGGAGCCGCAGGGACTCACACCATGCGGGTCCACCAGAGACCAGGGAGGATTGGAATTATATCCATTTTATTCTCCAAACCCACGTACGCTATGGGCAAGGCAAGTTTATTTGTATGGCACAGCTCATACACAAGGCTACTAACAAGATTACAAGGCATTAAAACCATCAATATTTACAGTACATTTAAAACAAGTAAAGATAAAATGCCTCAAAGTTATGCTCAGCTAAACAGAACCAGGTTTGAACATTGTCAGAGAAGAAGCTTGTCTCACATTTTCAGGAAGACTGTACCAGGAAGCCAGTCCCTGTGCAGGTCAGAGTCCTCCTTGGTTCATATGGTTCTAACAAGTCACGGATGTACTTTGGTGCGAGGCCATGGAGAGACTTTTATCAGAGCTACTTTAAAGTCTATTCTCTGAGCCACAAGAGCCAGTGCAGAGACCTGAGGACTGGACTAATGTGACTTCCCGGTTCTAGTTCCCGGTTCTAGTCTGGACTAATGCAATGGTACTTCCTGGTTCTAGTCAGGACTAATGTGACCGTACTTCCTGGTTCTAGTCAGGACTAATTTGATGGTACTTCCTGGTTCTAGTCTGGACTAATGCGATGGTACTTCCTGGTTCTAGTCAGGACTAATTTGATGGTACTTCCTGGTTCTAGTCTGGACTAATGAGATGGTACTTCCTGGTTCTAGTCCGGACTAATGAGATGGTACTTCCTGGTTCTAGTCAGGACTAATGTGACCGTACTTCCTGGTTCTAGTCAGGACTAATTTGATGGTACTTCCTGGTTCTAGTCTGGACTAATGCGATGGTACTTCCTGGTTCTAGTCAGGACTAATTTGATGGTACTACCTGGTTCTAGTCTGGACTAATGCGATGGTACTTCCTGGTTCTAGTCAGGACTAATGCGAAGGTACTTCCTGGTTCTAGTCAGGACTAATGCAATGGTACTTCCTGGTTCTACTCCGGACTAATGCGATGGTACTTCCTGGTTCTACTCTGGACTAATGCGATGGTACTTCCTGGTTCTAGTCTGGACTAATGCAATGGTACTTCCTGCTTCTAGCCAGGACTAATATGATGGTACTTCCTGCTTCTAGCCAGGACTAATGTGATGGTACTTCCTGGTTCTAGTCTGGACTAATGTGATGGTACTTCCTGCTTCTAGCCAGGACTAATGTGATGGTACTTCCTGGTTCTAGTCACTTCTGTCACTTTGCTACGGTGGCCATGCTAACTATAGTTCCACAATGATCTTATTTGACCGTCACATGAAGGTTACCGCTAGGACTAGGAAAAGTGGAATATGCAAAAGACAAAATAACTGCTGCTTCTTCTTCTACTATTATGACTTTATTAAACATGGGGAGGCAGAGTTTCTGATTTTTTTGTCGCTGACATATGGAACAGTCTTCCTGAAAATGTGAGGCAGGTGTTCTGTTTGTCTGATCATACAACTGAAGGATTGTATCTTTACTTTTTTTAATGCACTGTTATTTATCTGGGATTTTAAGTTATGTGTTTTTAATATTCAATAAAAGTACTACGACTTACTACTGTTATCAGGCCTACTATTGCTGCTACTGCTGTACTCTAATAAGTAAGTTATCATTATATGTATAGTGCCTTTTCACAGACAACAATAAGTACTACTGCTAAAATCCATAGCTGCTATTATGGCTACTAATACTATTGTTACTATTATATTGTCCAATTTATTTCAACGGCTAATTTCAGAAACAAAATTCAGATGCTAGTCTCAGTTGAAGACTATAAAACTCAAATCTAATCATAGAACACAGAGTCAAGACGGTTCAGGAGACGGCCCCCGGTCCAGTCCCGGCTCACTCATCTTGACTCAATCAGAGCTCTCTCAAAATGCACTTGACCCGGGTCTGTAAAAACACCACAGATGAATCCAATCAAAGGCAGATTTCCCCTGGATTCAAAGCAGGTCTGGTCTGTGCCGGTCCAAAGCCGGTCTACAGATGGGGCAGGTATGGACCCCGGAGAGGGCCGGACCACTATGGCAAGACTTCAGACAGTAAGCCGGATCAAAGATGGCTGCCGCTTTGAAGACTCCAAAGGAAACAAAAACGTTAGATTTATGAGAAGAAGATGGGTTTTATATTGTGTAGGCAGACTGCATTAGACCGGAGGGGCCAATGAGACAGGACTTTTACTACGGCGGAATATTCTAGTTTAACAGTACTTTTACTACAGTGGTATACCTTGGTGTAGCAGTACTTTTACTTCAGTCATTTATATCAGTACCATAGACCATGTATTTGGAGTGTTAGCCTTAATGCGGAAGAAGCCGATTTGATATTTTACCTAGCCGTGCCAATTTCCTTATATGGGCATTAGCTTCACGTGTTGCTAATATGGTTGCTATGGCAAGCTGGAGTTTCCCACATGAATTAAGGCATGTGATTGGTCAATCCTTATTTGGCTTGTATCTGGATTTACATACAAAGTTATTATCAAAATACAAATACCAGGATTATCATCGTGGTGAGTGTGACACAAACGGTAACTGAGCCAGAGGAATTCACTAAAGTAAATCATTACGAGAGAGTTCGAGCAAAACTTTGTCCATGGGCCCTTCCATTTCGGGCTCCATTGAGCTAGCTATATACAATGTATGACCATGGATGTATTATATTAACTGGATAGGGTATTACTAGCTTGTAGCTGAATAACTCACGTGCTCAGGGGATTCTTGCGGTGCTGCAGACTGAACCAGACTAAATTCACGTGGGCTACCCAGAAATTTTCCCCATAGAACTCAATGCATATTAAAACAGCTAGACCTCAGCTGACAGAGAACCTGACAGAGAACCTGACAGAGAACCTACAGCTTTAATAAAGATCAGATTTTGTGGGGATTTTAGTGTCCCTTGTCATCCTGAACTTTTTTTCTTCTTAAATCCTTCGGTTTTGTTTAAATCCACACTTTACTGCCACAAACTCTGCTCCTCTGGCTCTCGCTCTAACTCCCGCTCTGATGAACTGCTCTGATTGGTCAGAGCGCGGCCGAGCCCCTCTGTGCACGTGCGTGAGACCCGGTGTGAGACCCACACACGCGTGTTTGGCGCAATGCATTATGGGAGATCATCCACTGCACAGAACCGGGAGGACCAGACGATGCCCAAATACAGGCCAGTTTCCCATAGATCTTTGCGAGTTCCAGGCGACTTCCGCTAATCTTTCAGCCCCCATGCCGTCACAAAGCGCCACTGAGCACAACCATTCATTTGAATAGGGCGCCATCTTGGATCGCCGGGGCTTGTGTATGACCGGTACTAGCAGCAGCAGTGGGGATAAGATAAATAATAACACTGGCTGTGTAGTGGGAGTCGTAGTACGCCACAATTTAGTTAAGAGTTCTATTTATTTTCACTTTACATATTTGGACATTTGGCACATGCCGAGTGATCCTGGTTATACATAGTTCCCACATGACGTCACTACATACGGGGATTTGCCGACCCGGCACCATTTGTGTTGGCATTCTGTGGGCAAAACAATAGAAAAAGAAGCTGAAACGTGTTAATGTCGTGATAAAGTTGAAAATGGTCATCTCCTGCTGGGTCAATGGATGTTCAAATCGTGCCGGAGGTTCCGTTAAACTTGGATTTTACAGTATACCCATCATTAGACTTCATGAATGTGAGAAAACTAAGCTTTTGTCAGAACAACCACGGAGGTTATGGCTTGCGAAGATAAACAGGCAAGAAACTCCCTCAAAACACGCAAGAATATGCTCGGAGCACTTTGTGTCAGGTGCGTATCGTATCTTATAATGTGTTGACAGACGTAATTTACTCAGTACTAACTTGTGTATGCTGATAGCTGGTAACTTGAGAGTTTCATTATTTAGCGTTAGATTACTTTATTATGAGGAGGATCGGTGTCGCGTCCGAGGCTCTCGAGGGCAACGTAAATGTATTAAATAGATCATAATAGTTCTATGGTGGGCTAAAACAATGTTCACAAACAGCATTGCTTCTGTAAAAAGATCTGTGTCATAAAATAAACTGCTCTTTACGCCTGGAAAAATCAGTTGCCCACCATTCACCAAAACATACGGTCAAAAAGGCGGAAATAAACAATAACAGCAATCCAGAGTGTCCGTGTGGCATTAGCATTAATTCAATTAATTGTTAATATAATTAAAATAATTAAATGGAGTTCCAACTGGTATTAAATCTAAAGTTTTTGAGAAATGTTTGCATTGCTTGTTAATTTTTGCTGCATAATTTGATCAAATATGTAAAACATGTCCGTAGCACGTTAAACTGTGGTGCCATTGTATTAATATACAATTATTTGCTCAAAAGTTGCCCTTTTTTTTCCAATTTACGTTTGAATATCTACATTTATTCTCATTCTTCTGTTTAATGGAATGCACAAACACAGCAGCGTGCCATCAAAGATGGCGTCTCCGAGGAGGTCATGTGACATTCATTGGTCTGTGGGAACTATGTATACCAAATGTAACGTGTACATCTCTCCACTGCGAGAGAACAAAGTTTCATCTTATCTTAAATCAAAAATGCTTTGTTAATGAAACAATACTAAAACTAATATCAAACCTAGATCAAAGTATAGATTAATTACACAAATAAGAAAACATTTAAAACGTCATGAGCATTTTTAATAATCAACTTTAAACTATTATAGTTTGGAGCTCTAAGTTTTGTTTCCCGGTATCAATACCAAGTAGCAGCGGGCTAGATTAAAACCTACTTTCACTTTAATTCCTTGTTCAAATAGCAGCATTTTAATTTATTCCCACTTGTGACCTTGTTTATTCCTCAATCAAAAATGTTCCCAATGTTCTGCCCATAATTTCAATCACCTCTTTCAATCCAACAGAGCATGTTTATGTATCGTCAACACGAACGCAGCCGATGGAACTTGGCGTTAGCGCTGTTAGCCGCATTAGCATCAGCTCTGTTCGTGCCCCACTCCTCTCCCTCCAGGCCCGGTGTCTCTTTTGGCTGCAGACTGCTGCTTTTGGCACACAGGGCTCCAGACTGGATGCTAATGAAGCCTGGCCGCGGTCCCAGTCCGGTTTCCCCGATTGTGAGGCTGCCCCGAAGGCTAACGCTAACGGCCAAATAGACAGACGCCGCGCGCTAACGGGCCCCACGGCTAATGCTAACCGGATTGCGATGCCGTTAGCCAAACCGACAGACGCACGGCTAACACAGGCATCCTGCTAATACCATGAGACAGGCAGGATGGAGTTTGGAAATAGTTTGAAAATTAAAGAGAATATGATCAGATAAGATTCAGATTCATTTATTTGCCATAATTTGCAGTAAAACCACATTGGAAAAACTGTGCAAGACTACCCCAGTGTGCACCAGACGACACACACCAGAGCTCTTGCCAAGTTGGCCATTAGAAATGAAGACTTTACCCTGGACTTAAACATCCAAACCTGGATTTACGTTTTAAAAAAGGGGTTAGGTAGATCTACATAACATTCATAAAAATTACTATTATATAAGTAATTACAGCTATGGCACTGATATAGATGTGCTGAATATTTGCACATATGAAAAATTCTCTTTTTTCAGCTCCATCCTCACCGATTTCAGGAAATTCTGGAACAAACACATCCCCCCCGCCCCTTCTGTCTAAATCTAAGTTTTCAAACCCGTTACACTACGACGTCCCTGCAGCCCCACGGACGGAGCTGTGTTCCTCAGTCAGAGAAAACACTCAAACCAAATAGTTGAAAATGAGAAACGGCTTGAGTGTGCTTCCTCGTTTCCTTTCCTAGCTCCTCGCTCCCTTCGTTCCCTTCGCTCGCGCACTTGTTTTGATGTTTGATGCTTGTTAATCGAACGCCGACTTGAGCCAAACATAATTACAGAGCGAAACATAGAGGCGTTAGAAGAAATGTGCAGGGTTTTTTTATACCTCAAACTGACCTAGAAAAAGCTACGACTAATGTATTTCTCTATATGTGGAGAAATACCAAGGATTGTTGTCGAGTAATGTACAAGCGTGGTCATGTAGCGGGTGTATGCTAACAAATTAGGTCCAATTTGCTGCGATGTCTGAAGGCGCTAACACGTACATCAGTGTCATCGACTCATAACAATAATAAAAGAATAGAGCAAATAAAAAGCACAGGTTTTCTTTAAAGGTCTCGTCGTTTCTCTTGAGCTTTAAGCACATTACAGCATTGATTCTCATTATTTACTGACCTGGAATTGTTTTTTTTAATATCCCCCCGCCCTTTCTGTCTAAATGTCACTGTCTCCAGATTGTGACATCAAGCTGTTTTCTGTCCAAACAAAAAGTATTGCCTAAAAATCCGGAATTTCTTGAGTCAAATCATGCTTTTTAATTACCGCGTTCCTTTCATTAGACCATGCCATAATCAATATATGTAAAATAACAATATGTCACCACATGTGTCCTTTGTCAATAGAATATGCACAATTCTATACTAGCTTATTTATCACGCTAAAGCTAGAGATTGTATACTTACTTCTTAGAATGCTAAAGACTCTGACTGATTTGTTGCCTGTTTATAATCCTTGATTGTAGACGTCCTTATCATGCCCAAGCCACAGATTGTATACTTGCTTATGTATTATTATAAAGTTAGAGATTTTAAGACTTACTTTTGTATTATTCTAAAGCTAAAGATTTTATACTTGCTTCTGTGTTTTGCTAGAGCTAGATTTTTTACTTGCGTTTTATGCTAACGCCAGAGATTTTATACTAGCTCTCTTATTCTGCTAAAGCTAGAGACGTTATACTTGCTTCTGTATCATTCTAATGTTATAGATTGTATTCTATGTGATTTTAGTATAGAGTTATTGTTCATTTATCTTCTTTTCCATAACCGGTCATGCAACCCTGAAAGTACAACTAAAGTATCTCTAATGATCTTAATATAAATTCCCTTTTGTATGTTATTACACCGGCTTATTTTCATATTGTTGTAACACACGGGGGCAGGGCAGTTGAGGGATATGGGCTGTCAGGACAGTGTGAAGCGGGTTTGAGTTACACTTGCTCTGTTTATGATCGCACTTATGACACAACAGACAGTAAACATGTCACGTTCAGTGTGTGCACGGGAAGAAGAACAACCGCCCAGGGACTCGGCGTGAGCACTCTGACTCAATTAAAGCTCTATATTTCCAGCTCAGTTTGGAAATTACGGCTATTGCTGAGTTTAGTTGGCAGATTTATTCACGTCGGTTTGGGATTTTGTTTATTTTCAGGCCACGTGCAGAGAACAGTTTGATATGTGTGTTACCGTGACAATAGGTGTGTTGCCAATAGACCAGTAAAGACTTGGACAGGAAAAGAAAAGCCCTTTCCTGCTGACACAATAGGCATATTCTTAATAACAGAAAACGAAAGCACGGACTGAATAAGCTAACACATGCTAACACATCACATCCGTCATATTTTTGTATATGTTTGCATTGTTGTAACGATTGTTTAGTAAAAGGGCCACTTTAGTTAATCAGACTAGTCCAGGGACCGACATCACAGACTGAAAAACTGTCTTGACTGGCATCTGGCTGTTCTGAAATGTATGATAATCTATTACAGAGCTGAAGTTGGCTGAATGACAAATGTTTACCATCTCACCACATTAGCACCATTAACCCAAGTGACACAATCAAAAACCACGTCAGTACAGTATGTGCAAATAAAGTCAACAATGAGTTATGACATGTCTGAAGCTGGAGCTGAAGATGGGCCAAGAGGGCCACCAAAAATTACACTGAGGGCCGCAATTGGCCCCTGGGCCTGAGTTTGGACATGCCCGGTTTAAGGGAACTCCCAGTCACTCTGCGGAGGAAACTCATTTGGTCCACTTATATCCACGATCTCGTCCTATTGGTCATTCCCCAAAAGCTCCGGAACCTGTTCAGTCAGAGGGACCACCCAGACCCTTTTGGTTGTTCGTGCTGTAAAAAAGAAAGTGGCTCCAACTGACTTTAATATGAGCAGTAGGATATAATGTACCACCTAAATAAATAAACCACATTAAAAAAAATCCACGAGACAAACACAATTGATGTGTTACGACTGATTGATTGATTGAGTGATTGAGACCGCTGTAGGCAGAGCAGCCCTGGGGCAGACTGACGGAAGCAAGGCATCTACTCTGCACCTTCCGACCACAACCAACCAATCACACAGCAGACGCGTATCCATGTGGGTGATGTGTCTTGCCTAAAGACAGCTTAGCACTTGACAGCCGCTCTGGCACCTGATGTTCCCAGGGGTCTGCCTTTTCAAACTAAAGTAGGCAAGGCAAGTTTATAAGTGTAGCACAGGTCTTACTCAAAGTGCTGAACAAAACAAGCTCAAAACAAACACACAAAGCATAAATAATCACAATATATTCAAAAGAGTAACTATTAAATTTCTCTGTTGTATGCCCAGATAAACTGTCTTTAACCTGTATTGATACATTGTCAGAAAAGAAGCCTGTCTCACATTTTCAGGAAGACTCAGCTGCATACATTTGAAAGTAGTCGCTCCATATCGGCCCTTTACGACTGTGTGTCTTCTCTCGGACCCCGTCATGTTAGATTAGGCTACGCTCTGCTCTGACACACTGTTATTTCCTGTGTATGTGCTCGGTCCATTGTTTTGCCTCGGCCTCTGGAGGATTCACCCCGAGCGCTTCAGCACATGGACAAATCCCCCGCTCACTTCCTGTTTAGGATCGCCGTGGAGACACAGAGCCCACTTCCTGTGTGTGTATGTGTGTGTGTGCTCACTTCCTGTTTGCTGTGAGTTCAAACAAGAAGTGGAGACAATGTGAATCGTGAAAGAAAGTCTGGATTGGTGTCCATGTTAAAGAACCCATTTGAGGCTTTTATTGTGTACATTTTGTTTCCTTGTCCCGATTTAATTAAACAAAGAAAACTCATGTAAACTTGTGAAAAACGTCCATTTGGCCCAATAGACAGCGTTTTGTAACCACGGAAACCGGATACTACCGAGACAAGGCTGGCAGAGCATTTAAGAGCGCTGCGGGAAGACATTCTTGTATTAGAAATGTGGACTTCCTTATCTCCTCTCACCTCTCTCTCTCTCAGCCTTTGACCTCTGTCTGTTCTCTCCACCCGCTGTTCTCTCCCTCCTCTCTCCCTCATCTGTCCTCTACCCTCTCTTCCTTCCTCTCCCATCTACTTTCTCTCCTCTGTCCTCACTCCCTCCTATCTCCTCTCCTTCCTCTGTTCTCTCTCTCCTAGCCTCTCCCTACTTTCTGGCCTCTCCATCCTCTGTGCTCTCCCTCCTGGCCTCTCCTCTCTCTCCCCTCCCTCCTGGCCTCTCCTCTCTCTCCTCTCCCTCCTGGCCTCTCCTCTCTCTCCTCTCCCTCCTAGCCTCTCCTCTCCCTCCTGGCCTCTCCTCTCTCTCCTCTCCCTCCTAGCCTCTCCTCTCTCTCCTCTCCCTCCTGGCCTCTCCTCTCTCTCCTGGCCACTCTTCTCTTTCCTCCCCCTGCTGGCCTCTTCTCTCTCTCCTCTACCTCCTGGCCTCTCCTCTCTCTCCTCTCCCTCCTGGCCTCTCCTCTCCCTCCTGGCCTCTTCTCTCTCTCCTCTCCCTCCTGGCCTCTTCTCTCTCTCCTCTCCCTCCTGGCCTCTTCTCTCTCTCCTCTCCCTCCTGGCCTCTCCTCTCTCTCCTCTCCCTCCTGGCCTCTCCTCTCTCTCCTCCCCCTCCTGGCCTCTCCTCTCCCTCCTGGCCTCTCCTCTCTCTCCTCTCCCTCCTGGCCTCTCCTCTCTCTCCTCTCCCTCCTGGCCTCTCCTCTCCCTCCTGGCCTCTCCTCTCCCTCCTCTCCCTCCTGGCCTCTCCTCTCTCTCCTCTCCCTCCTGGCCTCTTCTCTCTCTCCTCTCCCTCCTGGCCTCTCCTCTCTCTCCTCTCCCTCCTGGCCTCTTCTCTCTCTCCTCTCCCTCCTGGCCTCTCCTCTCCCTCCTGGCCTCTCCTCTCTCTCCTCTCCCTCCTGGCCTCTCCTCTCTCTCCTCTCCCTCCTGGCCTCTCCTCTCTCTCCTCTCCCTCCTGGCCTCTCCTCTCTCTCCTCTCCCTCCTGGCCTCTCCTCTCTCTCCTCTCCCTCCTGGCCTCTCCTCTCTCTCCTCTCCCTCCTGGCCTCTCCTCTCTCTCCTCTCCCTCCTGGCCTCTCTCTCTCTCTCTCCCCTCCTGGCCTTTCCCCTCTCCTCTTCCTACTCTGTCCTCTCTCATCTACTCTCTCCCCCCTCTGTCCTTTCTCTCCTCTCCTTCCTCTGCCTTCTCGCATCTACTCTCTCTCCCTCCTCTTCTAGCCTCTCTCCCTCCTCTGTCCTCTGCCCTCTCTCCCTCCTGTCCTTTACCCTCTCTCCCCCCTCTGTTCTCTCTCTTCTAGCCTCTCCCTCCTGGCTTCTCCCCGCTCCGTTCTCTCCCTCCTCTCCCTCCTGGCCTCCTGGCCTCTCCCCCTCCATCCCCTGTCCTCTGTTATCTGGTACTCAGCCTGATCAGTATGCCCGCTGTACGGTGTATTGTTTAGCCTCACAAAATGAGACAGTGATTAACGACAGCCCGAGCCGCCTCTCCATTACTCTGCCATTAATCCATCAGGCCAGAGAAGGAGGAGGAAGAGGAGGAGGAGGAGCACCCACAGGAGCACCCACAGGACCAAGGCCCCACTGTCCTGCCGCAGAAACTATAAGCACAGATATGATGTAGACTTCTGCCATGTTACGGAGAAAAGGCGTTCAAAAACTGCATTCAAGACATTTTTAAAGTTGTAAATGTCTTCCGTGATCAATCCACGAGTAAATCCAATCCCTCCACATGTGACGTCATCTTATTCAAAGACACTGGATGCAGAAGAAAAGCAGGTATCCGAGACTTCCTCTACTAGAATCTGACTTACAGCTCGCAGAAGCAGAAGTGAGCGGACCTATGTGTGCTGATCCTGGTCCTGAGCTGGTCCTGGTCATTTTACTCAGAGTCATAACTATAACATATACAATACAATACAATTTATTCTTGTATAGCCCTAGGTCACAACAGAAGTCATCTCAGAGGACTTAACAAAACCATTGAAATCACCAACACAGGTCAGAGAATCAACAGTTAAAACACATGAAGAATACAGTATAAAGCACACACAGAAGAAAATGTCCATACATGTTGTAGAATGCTAAAGTGTCCTGATCATCACCAATCCTTTCTGTCGGACACTAACTGTCCAACAAGACCCTCGTGCATCGACAAGGAAAAACTCTTAAAATGAGGACATTTACTCTGAAATGCCCAACAATTACACACATTCTTGAGGGAAAATCATCCTAAACCCGTGGAAATGAAAAGGAGGGTCCAAGGACAGTGGTGGTAATCCCGGACACTCCACATTCAACGATATATATGGATTTTTATCAACATTTATGAACATTGGTCTCTGCCTCTTATGGACCAATGGCTCTATGTGTTTTTTATCAATACATTTCTTGTGTTTGATCTGTTTGATTCTCTAATTTGTGTTGGCGAATTAAAAGGTTTCTGAAGTCCTCCCAGATAACTACTGTTGTGATGGTGGGCTATACAAACATTAATTGAATTGAAAGTCTATGATTTCGAACACGACAAACTCTGAAGGTGCTTTTACTGTGATGGAGATACTGTAGGTCTGAAAGGGTCATTAATAAATCATTTTTGTATTTAGTTTCTATGGACGTCATAATAACAGTGGATGAACCAGATGCATTGCTGTTAGTGTTATAGCATATGTGCTAGTTTTCAACACCAGTCCACAGTCATATTTATCATCTGGACTACTAGACCACACAAGTTTTCCATGAGTTTCTGGACGCTCCCTCAAAGACAGGGTAAAGGAGCTCCAGTCACACATAAGGAGCTTGGAGTAGAGCTGCTGCACCTTCGCATTGAGAGGAACCAGTTGAGGTGGTGATAGCTTAGCATCTGTTTGGGATGCTTCCTGGTCTCTTCCCTGAGGAGGTGTTCTGGGCATGTCCCACCAGGAGGAGACCAGGGGAAGACCCAGGACACACTGGAGGGACCGTCACTCAGCTGGCCTGGGAAAGCCTCCGGATCCCCCAGCTAGAGCAGTGGTTCCCAAAGTGGGGGGCGCGGGACGAATGAATGAACAAAAATACAGTAAGCTAAATGACACTGCTAGTATGAGATGGACGCATTTTAGGGCTGATGTTTATATTAATTACAATGTGTCAAATAAACTGCTTCTTAAAATGGACTCTGAAAAAAAAAAGTATGTCCTTTTGGGGAGGAGAATCTTATGTACCAAAGGGGAGCCCAGCTGAAAAAGTTTGGGAATCACCGAGCTAGAGGAAGCTTGTGTTTCGGCTTCTCTGGTCAGACTGCTGCCCCCGTGACCCGGTAATGGATAAAGTGGAAGAAAATTATGAGAAGTCGTCCTACAACTGCTGTTACAACTGAGGGAGTTTTACCTTTACTCTTTTTTAACGTACTGTGATTATCTATGGTTCTAATGCCTTGTATGGTTGTTTCCAACTTGTTTTGTTTAGCGCTTTGAGTTGCCTTGTGTATAAACGGTGCTATACATATAAACTGGCCTTTTCCTTGCCTTGATGTTAGTCCTACTCCTAACCTCCTGTTGTTTCCATCATGAGAAAAGCCAGTGTTACTAGCACATCTCCTGCAGCTCCCATCAGATCCACATCCAGCCCTATCAGCCTGTCGCGTCTTCACATAATTCTCAATTAAAACATGAATCCAAACAGCTAAAATCTAAGAGTCATTCTCAAAATGGCGCTTTGCACATTTCTGGCACTTGAAGTCGGAATCCTCATTAAAACTTGTGAATTTATATTAATTAAAGCGGATTATTGCCCGCAGACACTCAGGAATGGAAATGAAAGGACTGGATGGTTTATGAAGACTGCAATTATAAAACACTCAAAGTGACACAGTAATAAAGAGATTAGCTCGTTCAGCACGTGGGTCCGGGGTTGGATCCGGCTAAGCCCTGGTCTGGTTCTGGTTTCAGCCCTTGTGAAATCATTCCAATGTTTCCGTGGCATCTATTGTGGCGTTTGATTTGATTACGTGTTTTTCAGATCATCTCGTCACGCCAAGCCAAGCGGACAGAAGGCCTGGCCGTGTCCTCCTTCACCAACTACAAAGAAACTCCGTTGAAATCCATTTAAGTGCCAACAACACTCCAATCTATTCTCCAACATAAAGTCCGGACTGAGAGACGATCCCGGACTCGGAACTGGATCAGGGCCAAGATACGGCCAGAGGACAACTGCAAGGACACCGGACCCTTAATGATACTTGTAAATGGCGTGTAGTGGTAGTAGTAATACTGCTGCTAAGGCTACTACTACTACTGCGGCTGTTGCTATTACTACTACTGCTGCTGCAACGGCTACTAAACAACTAACCATAGAAGAAGAAGAAGAAGGTCCTTATTTCGTCAAACACATTGAGGAAATTTCAGTTTGATGAATACAAATACACACATATACATCAAGGCATGCAGCAAACATTTCTTCCGCGCTCCTTAAAGGCAAAGTGAGTTAAGTGTCTTGCCCGAGGACGCAACAGCAGGCATCAGTGGGGGTCGGTGGAGAAGGTCTCGCGGTGGGCTCGAACACACGACCTTCAGGCTCACAGGCCAATGCTCTACCAAGCCTCAAGACCACTTCTACTCGTACTAATATATATGTATTCCGGTGTCAGAAAGGGTGCCAGATCGGATGCAATTTCCATTAATACTTCTACATGCAATACTCTCTACATCAGAGGTCCACTAACTTCATCAGTTCAATAGAATAGGGTTTGGACATCATGCAACAATGACAATAACAATATGAATATAAGTGTATGTCATTCACCGCATAACACTAATTAATCAATATGATTTTTATGAGCAGCTGTGTAATTCCTAAGTCTTACTGTTAAAGCTGCACTAACTGACTATATTTTCGTATCCATTACAAAAATACTATCCATGTCCATGCAGTGCATTGGGATAAACGTCCTTTTGAAGAATAAGTAGCGCAGATTAGTGTTGGCGTGACATTATATTTTAGATCGAGTTTTGATGAAACAAGGAAGAGATGTGTTTCGGGTCGCAGATTCTGACCAATCACAGCGCACCTCTAGCCCCCACTTTTGTGAGAAATCTTCAGGTCCGTTAGCATAGACGGCTGAGTTAGCACAACAAGCGGCGGAGCTAACCTGAAACTTCCTCATCCTTGTCACGGTTACTGCTTACACAGCGACACAGCCATCCAAAAGAAAGTCTCGTTCCTCCGCGCTTCCCGGTTCTATCGTTCTATGGTGCACGTGCAAATCCATGTCCATGTATTATCCATATTGGGAGACGCTAGCTCCGTCCCGACAGTGGGTGTGTGTGGGGGGCGATAGCTTCATGGGTGCGGGGAGGGGAGCAGAAAGAGCGAGGCCAGCGAGTCTGAGGCTTCAAAATCCCAAAGTCAGTTAGTGCAGCTTTAAAGTCTACTTCTACGTAAAGTGTTCTCCAAAGGACCCCGCTGCGTACATAGCCGCCCTCGCGCCCGCCTGATTTGGTGAAAATTTGACATACTTGTAATAATTTTTTGAACAAAAAATCATGAGAGAAAAGGCTCTCAGGGTCCGGACCTGGACCCCTCTCTGGACCTATGTCTCCCAACCAATACTACTAATAGTATTAATAACTCAAGACAACTACTACAACTACTGCTACATCTCACTACTACAACTACTGCTACTACTAATACTCCTACAACAACTACTATTACTGCTGCTACTACAGAAACAAAAGTGGCAGCCTTCATTTCTTACTAATAACACATACTATTATTACTTCTACTCCCAGAACATTCTTCTACAACTGCTTCTGCTTGTGCTTAAACTCCACACATCCCAACACAGTCCAGATGTATCTTTAAAAATATGAAACTCTAAAGTCGAATGAGCGCCGTCCGCATCTTGTTTACGTGTTTACTGCCCCGGAGACTCCAGTTTCCAGCATCTCCTCTGTGATTACTCGCACCACAGCCATCTGAGGCCACACCCCCTAAAAACCTCAAAAAGCCATTCGAAACCCCAAAGTCCCCGATCCGGATGGGGTCCCGGCCCAGCACTGCATTCCGCGGGGAGACTGCAGCTTTATGAGAGACTAATAAAGTTCATTTGGAAAAGGAGTGGTGCCATTCTGTCAGTGCGGTGACTGAGTGTTGGGACGTGTATGTGTGGGATTATTGTGTTGTAATGAAATGTATTAGTGTTTGAATAGACGCCAAACAG